CTATTGACGCGCGTATTGCAATGAATTTAAATATTTGACTGTGAATTAGAAGGAAATGCTTATGGATAAATAATGTACAATTATACGTAGATTAAATAAGATTTTCTGTATAGGCGAGTTGTTTTTTTGGGAGCTACTTTAAACATAGAATAAATAATGTTTACAGAACCCAAGGCTGCACGGGCGAAGTCTTTCCGACTGTAAACATAGCACAATCAAGAAAGAAAAAAGCAACGGAATATAAAAACCGGTGTTAATTAATTACACTAGTCGCGCTGCAAGTGGAGAGTATTCATTTCAGATTACCGAAGAAGAAGAGTACAAGAAGACATTCGTGTGTATATTCTTGGAGAAGTCGGTAATGTATGCAACGCATCGCCCGAAACGTTGATAGGCTTGAAGTCGAATCGTCCGTGAAGAAGAAACCAAAACAGAGTCGAGAATAAAACGAATCGTCTCGGTCTCGAATCGTGGTACCCGAATTAACGGTGCACTTCCAAAGTTGCATAACGCGCACCTTGAAAAACGCTTAACTGCTTCTCGGTCTCGATGTAATCAAATACAACGAAAAACTCAAATATTGCTTTTTAACGCAGTTTTAATAAGGAATTACATCATTCAATATACATTTTAATTAAACCTTGTTAGCTCTTTGCTATACTATAAAAAAAATAATGGTAATTGATAAAATTTGAATTATTTTTACAAATATAAACTAGCACAGATTATTTTAATTTTAATATAGTTTCTAGTAAATAGATTGGAGCATTTTTTTTTATATTACGCAAACCACTGAGTAGATGGGTTTTTTGGTAGGCCACCAGTTGATCAATTTAACATCTCTTCATAGTAAATTTAACATATACATTTTTTCTTTAATGCATTTTTTCTTCAGTTTTTCATCAATTAAATGATGTTCAAATTGTAGAAGATTTGATGCAATTATGTAATTACTATTTCATTGATGCGATAAAAAAATTAATGGCAACAGAAAATTACATCATTAATTTTAATTAATTTTGTTAATTTTGTAAAATAAATGAACAAAAAAAAACTGCTGAAATTATAGAGATTTTTGATAGGATGTTAATATTTTGTAGAATTTTTTAATGCTTTAAATTATAAGTAAACTTAAAAAGAAATGTATATCTTTGATGATTTTGCATTTGCAATTGTTGCTTTTTAGTGATAAACTCTAATCAAGTTTCTTTTCGTAACGTTACAGATTAGATGATTTAGTAGTTACGCAAACATCTCAATTAGTGCAGATATGCTACTAGTAACCAGTCGATTAAGCATTATTAATATCAAGCAAAGTTTCCAATCTTTATATAATATGCGTTTTTTTGTTGTTGTAAATTTCAAATAGCATTAGAAGAACGTCCTTGTCGAGGTAACAATCGCAATTAACATTTCTCGCTTTCTCTCCTCTACATCTATCTCTTTCCTTCGCGTCATGCTCATGTCGTAAGGATCTTTTGTAACAATTCGTGGCGTCGAAATGAAAATACGTACAAAATTTTTCGTTTCAATTTTTGATGAATGTATGAAGCTATATTATTTGGCTTTGTCCGATTCGCTAAAAAAGCGTGCGCTTCGAGCGCAGCCAAAAAGCGTTATTTATATAACGCGATAAGGTCACCAAAATATTGGAACACGTTTCGCTGGTATCTCAAGGCTGACCACAGAGCACCAAGTAAGAGAGAACTAACCTACTCAACACGGGACACCTTTGGTCTCGAACGTTTCTTTTTTTAACAGCTAATACAACGAATCTGGTTTTCTATATTCTATTTTTTTCTCTCTCTCATTCTCTATCGACTAGGATCGAATAAAAATAGCTGCTCAACTCTCGGATTTTCGAATTACTACTCTATTTTAATTGGGTTTTTTTCTTCGACATCTGCACTTCCTTCGATTCGCTAATTCCTCCAGATCGTTATTGTCGTACACCCACGTGGTGCACGTTCCATGGGTTTTGTGCTCGGATCTTCTCTGGATGCCCACGCGAATTTTGACTTATTTTTATCGCGTTACATCTCTCCCACTCGATGGTATTATCTAAATTAAGAATACGACACTAGTCGTTCTTAATGGTATATTTTGATTGAAGATCATTCAGTATACAACAAGATGAACCTAAAGACTTACATATAAATATCAATTTATGAGAGTTAAGCAACGTACAAAACTTGGATAAGTCAACTAATATACCGATTTACTATTAAAGTATTCACACAATAAATATAGTTAAATAATATTTAATTATAGGCAAATAATTGGTAATTAAATTATAATTTAATGTTTCAAATAAAATTTCTAAAAAAAAATAAAATCTTTAGTTGAAAACACGACAAATTGCGGATCGCGGCGAAGGATCATCAAATATTTATGAGGAACGCGAGGCGAGGTTGGGTATTCATAAATAAGGATTTCATTAACATTTCTTAAACACCAATTAACTTACAAAAGATTACTCACACTCGGCAATAATGCGGCAACCCACTTAAAACGTTGTTTTACTAAAATATATTATATACTTGCCTCCTCTACTAAGTACTAAAAGTTTTCGTTTCAATTTGATTCCAATCAAAGATACACACGCGCGATTTTACATATAAAATTAACAAGTGAATTTAATTTAATATTATTAGTTTAAAGATAATTGCAATTAATTATAGTATAAAACTTATGTTTATAATTAGTTTAACTACAAATAAGTAATGTACTGGATTCGGTAAAATTAACGGCGTTTTATAATAAGTGCATTGTGTTCGGCGGAAACGTAAATCTTAAGAAGGTGCGTTAAAAATGCAAATGAATTCTTGAATTTGCGGCGTTAACTTAATATTAGGACCTAATTTAAAGGATTAACCGCCTTGTTGTAATTAGAGTGGAAACATTATCCGGTCCTCTGTTATCCCGTTATCTCCATTATCCGGCGACACGAAAGGTTGCAGAACCCAACCCCCGCACCCTCATTATCCTGGATGAAAAAAAAAATAAAGGAACAGGACGAGAGCACACAACAAACCGCAGGGATACGAAAAAGGGGAAGCCGAAGCAAGAGATCGATGAATTTGCGAATTGAAGCTCCCCAGATTCGTTCTAATTGTTTGATATATAAAATGCACACATCGTCGTGCTAATAACAAACATCGTGTTTGTATAAACGTAGACTTTTTAGCACATTGATGAAATGATATGCAAGTAGATAACACTTATCATCATTTCAGTGGAAATCGGTTCGTTTCGTTACGTTTAACTCAATTTGAGGACGTCTAATTCGAACAATAATTCCAAAGCAAATGTCGACACGAATCGCCTCTGGCATATGTCGTGTTATTTTTGGCAGTGAAATGTGTTTGAAAAAACAGCTGTTTCTTGGAGCTGCTTTTTTTTACTGTTGTATTCTTACAATCCGTCGAGATTTAAATTAGTAATTCTTCGGCGTGTGGAATTTGAAGAAGAATTAAGCCACGTATATTATAATAATTCGTATAATTGTACACTAATGGATTACAAAACAAAGAAAGAACGAAGCAGAAAAAACTACATATTTAAGTATTTTGCAACTTTCTGTTTCATGCTACATTAGCAACGTTATTTAACTTACTTCATATACTCATTTAGTTGTTTAATATTTTTTTATTCCATCCTTAAACCACTTAATACGCTATACTTGCCAAGTAATTTCTATTAAAATAAGTGAATCATACAAGTACATCATTCTTAAACTACTCATTACATTATACTTTCCAAGTAATTTGTGTATAACCATTTTCAGACGAGCGGCGGATATATCCGCCATATTATAGTATTTTCGCAAAATTCAAGATAATAGGATTTCTAATTTTTTGTACATAAATATCTCGACAAAATTAAGATAAAACCTATTGATTTTTCATTTCTATTTTAAAATTTTTCTTACACTCGATTAATATAATATGGTTTTAAGGCTAAAATTACGAGATATGAAAGTCAGATCGTCGTGTGCAGTGAAAGTCTTTAAATGTAGTAGAATGAAATACAAAGAACAAAGAATTACAAGAGATGTGATGTCATCAAACCGAAAGAAGAAGTTTTTGCTTGAAATCGAAGAGATTTTTATTATTTACATGAGAAAACTTAAAATGATAAATTATTTTATTTGTAATTATTGGACGCATTTCGAAAATTACGAAACTAATAAATAAATGTAGAAATGTGTAAATTAAACGAATTAATTTATTAACAAAAAAATAATAAATTTATGATTCGCATTGATTTCAAGCAATTTCGCGTATTTTCCAATTTATTTATGGATAATATTGAAATATGTGCATCGGATTTGTTTTATTTATTATTTTTTTCTTGTTGCATATTTGCCATTCAATATTTGTACGCGAGATTTTCACTTTCGTTTTGTTGAAATGATATCGTGTTTGGATTGTTCTTATCGAAATTATTGCCACGAAAGTGAAAGCAAAGCTTCAGAATTGGAATGATGCATTCCTAATTACGCAACCTTCCTTTTTTATTCCTGTTTCATTTGCAGTTTTAATTAACGTAAAATGTTAAATACTTTATTAAAATTAAATTTTCCCATCCTCGTCTCTAAAGTTTTATTTTTTTTTTGCATCTAAGTGAAAGTGCAAAGACAAATAAATGAAAATTTAAAATAATTCTCATGTAGGATTGGTTATTGGTATTCGTTTGGATTGGAAAGTAATTTATTAAAGAACGCTGATTTTAATGAAGCGTTCGCTTTTTGTAAAACGAAAATTACCAAAAAAAAAAGAGAGAATATTTAATAAGTATTAAATGATAAATTTGGACTCGAGTTCTTGACCTAAATTTAAAGTGTTTTAACGAGAAACAATTGCGTTGCTTAATAATGAATCAATTGGGGTTTTACCAAATGTCTAGAATATTGTATGATTTATTTGAATCTTTAATGTAATGAGAAAAGTTGATTGTTAATTTGTAGCTAATGTTTTGTCTTTTTTTGTTTCTTTCAGTTGGGAATCATCTATAGAGATATCAAATTGGAAAATATTTTGGTGGATGAGACGGGGCATATTGTGCTGACAGATTTCGGTCTGAGCAAAGAACTACCTCGAACCGGGGATGCGGATCAACGGGCCTACTCGTTTTGCGGGACGATAGAGTATATGGCGCCAGAGGTTGTCAAAGGAGGCACCCAGGGTCACGACATCGTAAGTACAACATCATTCATCGCTCTTTATTGATATCAAAAGCCAGTTATGTGAACTGCTGGAACACCTGATTTGTAACCAGGAGTCGCCACTCTTCCTATTTTCCAACATCATCGCGTCGCCCCGACTAGACTACAGTAGACTAGACTAGACAAGAGTATACAAGACGAAACAATTCGCATGCAACCAATAACTCTCTTCCGACTGGATGGAGGCATTAAATGGATTCCGCTATATCTTCACGCATGCATACAATTATTTTATCCGTTATAACGTGCATCCACGGCCTAGGTTACTTATACTATACGTACTACAGTATAAATACTCCGTCTCCACATATTTATTATTATTGCTCGAAGCAGATTAGATAAGTTCTCTCTCATTCGTTCTCTTGTTGAACAGACACGGTTCCACCGCAACTGGCATCGGTATCGTAGAGAAACTTATTTCATCCTCACATCTTGCTTGGATTAATTTACGATCGTGCTGCGAATTCCTCAATTCGATAATTAGCCGATCTCGGGTTTACATTATGATGTGGGAATGATTAAACTTGCATATTTTACTGTTCGCAATGCGACCGAATATTCATGTTACGTCGAATATGCAATTCCATAGACTTCTTGGACAAATGGTTGATTCAATTACTACTGCATAAAGGGGTTCAAGGGCGATCGGGTGAAACGGTTCCGGTCGCGACGAGTGGGCACTGTAAAACAGTTTTTTTTTTCCTTCTTCATAGAAACAAGAGGAAAGGTTAAAGCTAATTGAAATCAACAACCTTTAGGTATCTACTCGCAGATTGCATTCGTAATTGGAGAAGTTTCGAACTTTTTTTTTTAACTATGTTTTGTCTATAAATAAACTGGTATTAACTTGAGTAAAGATCTCGCAAAGAATCCCAGTCGGGATTGCAATCAACCCACGCTCCATTCATCTTACATTTCAAATTAATAACGCGAAGTTTGTTTTCACGTCTTACGTAACTTTACAAGCGCTTAAAATAACGCTTGCATAAAGTATTCCAAATATAAATTATATATTAATTTTTTTTTTCTTCATTCATATCTAAATTTTAACAAATAGATTTTTTTTAAAGCTATGGTAAAAATTATAAATATGCATTTCAGGGGTCGAATGATGTTTCTAAAATTTGTATAACCATGTATAAAGTTTGAGGATATTAAAAGTTTTATCTTTGTTTACGACCTCTAAAAGGCCTCATTAAAGTTTTATTATGTACTAAGTCAGTCACTGAGCTTACATATATGAAATGGCCTTAACACTCATTTACGGTATCTTGATTAAAGTAATGCATTCGATTGGTTTATGTCTGTAATGGAAAGCAAATGTGTATAAAATTGCTATTTAATAACACTAAATCTTAAAATCCTATAGGATTATATAATTAAATCAGTATTATTTTAAAACGTATATTTTATAACTTTTTTATTGTTTAAAAAAATTGAAATTATGAAATCTAATTTTATTGAAGGATATTATTGCCAAGTAATTTCTATTAAAATAAGTGAATCATACAAGTACATCATTCTTAAACTACTCATTACATTATACTTTCCAAGTAATTTGTGTTTAACCATTTTCAGACGAGCGGCGGATATATCCGCCATATTATAGTATTTTCGCAAAACTCAAGATAATAAGATTTCTATAAGATTTAAAGTAATGCATTCGATTGGTTTATGTCTGTAATGGAAAGCAAATTGCTATTTAATAACACTAAATCTTAAAATCCTATAGGATTATATAATTAAATCAGTATTATTTTAAAATGTATATTTTATAACTTTTTTTATTGTTTAAAAAATTTGAAATTATGAAATCTAATTTTATTGAAGGATATTATTGCCAAGTAATTTCTATTAAAATAAGTGAATCATACAAGTACATCATTCTTAAACTACTCATTACATTATACTATCCAAGTAATATGTGTTTAACCATTTTCAGACGAGCGGCGGATATATCCGCCATATTATAGTATTTCGCAAAATTCAAGATAATAAGATTTCTATAAGATTTAAAGTAATGCATTCGATTGGTTTATTTCTGTAATGAAAAGCAAATATGTATAAAATTGCTATTTAATATCACTAAATCTTAAAATCCTATAGGATTATATAATTAAATCAGTATTATTTTAAAACGTATATTTTATAACTTTTTTATTGTTTAAAAAAATTGAAATTATGAAATCTAATTTTATTGAAGGATATTATTGACTAACTTTTTTATAAGACAAAATACTAAAGTGTGTTTGTAAATTTGAGGGGAAAGGGAATACATGATGTATTACACTGTTAAAAACGATTCCCAGTCATGTCTCTGATTTTATCGGTAATTTATGAATGTATTCTAATTTATGTTATTTACTTAATTCAATGTATCATAAGTACATTTACGTGTCATGTCTTTGGATATCTTAACACGTTATTGCACTGCATCTAACGGCTATTTATGTAATGAAAAATTACTACACAGCTTTTATTAGTTAAATAGTAAATCACCAAGACTCAAGTGGAAGCAACGTTTCTATTAAGAAAAAAACAAGCAAAAAAAAATGCGACCTCTACGTAATGTGTACAAGAATTGATCCGGTTTACGTCGGAAAACCTACATTTCTGCAAGGGTGGGTGTCCTCTGTTGCATAACAGTTAAATTGTTCGTTTTATTTGGAACCATGTGCGCGCCTCCCCCTCGTGCTTATACCGCGTTATCCTAAAAAGGGTGGCTCTTTCGTGGCGTCTCCCGTTTGAAAGCAGCTGGCAGTAAAACACTGAAGGTCACGAGTTCTTCGGCATCGCGGAAAAATGCCTTTTTTCCACTGAAAAAAAAAATAAAGAATACCGAAAGGCCAAACCGTTGCGTTCCATTTATCAAACACTAATAACGATAATATTCTGCAACTAAACATAATCCAATTACTACAAGTATCTATTTTTTTTTATATTTGTTCAAAAATATTTACCGTCGCTCCAATTGAAACGGTGTTTTTAATGACAATCGTAACGTTGAAATGTAAACAGTGGAAGGCCGTTATCGGCAGGAGGCGCGCTTTTTTTTCTCTCTCGAAACGCTTTTTCCTCCCTTCCCTTCTCGCTCGTCGAGCACAAAGTCTGCTTTTAATGAGCGCACTTTAAATAAACATCGAGCTTTATTAAT